AATCCTTCAAAGTCTTATGATACTTCCAAGTTTGAATTCAAGAAGAATCTATCATATTTTAACGAATGCCTATATATTCGAGAAGGTGAAGCTCGATTACATGTTCTTCAAGCACATCATGACTTTTCAACAACATGACTTTTTGGGTACAATAAAACTTTAGAACTAATATCCAAGGACTTTTAATGGCCACAAATGTAGAAAGCAGTCAAAGATTTTGTACAATCTTGTGATGTTTGTTCGAGATCAAAAACTCTTTATTATCGATCTTATGAACTTCTTCAGCTATTATCCATTCTAGAACAACTATAGTCTTCTATTTCTATGGATTTCATCACGGATCTTTCAATCTCATGTTCTTATGACTCTATATTCGTGATAGTAGATTGTTTTATCAAGATAGCACATTTTGTACCATGTTCAAAATCCATCACAAGTAAAGAAACAGCTAAGTTCTTTTTTGACAATATCTATTGCTATCATGGATTATCCAAAGATATTATATTAGATAGGAGAACTCAATTTGTATTAAGATTTTAGCAAACACTTTTTAAGATTCTAAAAATGAATATAAAACTATCTTCAGCATTCCATCCTCAAACTGATGGACAAATAGAGCATGTTAATTAAGTTTTGGAGTAATATTTAAGATGTACCATTAAATACCAATAAGATGATTGGACAACTCTTTTGCCAATGGCAAAGTTTGCTTACAATAACACGGTACATTCTTCTATAAAACAAACACCTTTCTTTATTAATTATGGTTACCATCTACATCTTGATACTTTTGACTTTTTAAAAGTTGATAATCCTATTGCAAAAGATTTGGCAATTCATTTGTCAGAGCTACATGCAATGATAAAGGCACAGTTAAAAGAAGCTTAAGAATAACAAAAGGTCAATGCGAATGTCTATCAAAAGGAACAACCACTATTCCACATGGGTGATAAGGTATGGTTACTTCGTCACAATATCAAGACCACTCGTCCTTGTGACAAATTGGACTATCGAAGGCTTGGATCATTTTTAATTTCTGCATAAATCAATCCAATTGCATATCATTTATATCTATCGGAGTTAATAAAAATCCATCGAGTATTCTAAGTGTCTCTTCTTAAACAATACAAGACAGTGGACATACTAAAAAGAAGACAAGCTCTACTTCCTCCTATAGAAGTGGACAATAATGAAGAGTTTAAAGTAGAAGAAGTCTTAGATTCACGGCGACTCTGAAATTAATTAGAATATCTTGTCCATTGATGCGGATATGATATTAGTGAATGCACATGGTAGCCAGTAAAAAAATCTTACAAAAGTAGCAAAGGCAATGGAAGCTTTTTATTGACGACATCCATCAAAATCAAGATAAAAACCTTCTTTATGAAAAAAACAAGATCTAGGCAAGATAACATTCTACTTTCAATCCTTGTTTGTAGCTTCTTTGTAGTTGTGATGCTCAAGAGATGGAGAGCCAACAACTAGCGGATTTGATTCAAGAGCCATCGTTTGCTAATGTGCTAGACAAGACATTATGATTGTCACAACTTTCAAGACGACATAATTGAGATGAAGATCTTCAAGAATGACATGTTCTTCCTCGAATAGATGGTGAGATACAACATATTTGGTATCACAACCTTGGAAGGGACTCTCGATGTTTGGTGATTTTACTAAAAGTAGGAACAATTCTTGATGGTGTTTTAAATGTTTTATTTGAAGGACGTTATGAAGGCCTCAATAATAATCAAATAACTAGGTGGTCTTTTTGCCCTGATATGGGACACTATTGATGGTTGAGAGGCCGTATCAATCGTCTTTAAAGAGAATAAAGATTAGAGTATGTAGGGAATACAATTCATCGCATCATAGATTTTTTCAACATATGATAACTACTCCTCATGGAATTCATTCCTAGAAGGGGGAGTAATGTCATAGATACATTCATGTAAATTGGTAATTACATATATAAATAGGTAGAAGTAAGTAAAAGTAGATAAAAATAAGTTAATTCTATAGTATTTGATATGAAAGCTTCTTAGAAGCTTCAAAGATATTACTTTCACTTTATAGGTGTCTTTAATTGACTTTTTGGATTAGAAATGTGGTCAAGAAGTTAGCCATGTACCACACATGTTGTTAGCTTGAAGACAAAGCTAACTATATGGCTTACACGTAGAAAAACTTACCTTGTAAGTCAAGGCATGTGTTCTACAAAGTCAACACATATTAGAGATCCTATAGAACATGGCCATGTAGTCCCTAGTTAGATAGTATATATAGAGACAAGAATGAAGCCTTCTTCACTCTTGTCAACTCCTTTCTTGCTTCGAGTCTAGTTTCAAGGGTCTCTAATTTTCTTTTGGCAATAGCCATTCTAGTTTATTTCTTAATATACATATCAAGTTATTTCTATTTTGTCATCTTTCTTTGAGAGAAGTCTCACTTGTTTATTTGTCTTTATCATGTTTTTATCCTTAACAGGTTTCACTAATTAGTCAATAGGTATGAATAATAAATAGATATTTTTAAAATTATATATCTAAATCATAAATCCTAAATCCTAAAATTTAATACTATCATCTTTTATAGGCACCTTCAAAGTTAAAGCCTCTAAAAAAGATTTGAAATCTATACCTTATATTGATGGTACCTTGTAGAAGTAAAGATTTCTATTTCATGGACAACTTCATTAAAAAAAGTTCCTTACTTTGTATTCATTCTAATAATTTGTAACATTGTGTTAATTCTCATGGTAGTTTTAATGAATCATTTTAAACATACATTTCAATCATTCTGGATTGACACTTAGATCTTGAGTAGAATCCAATCAACTTACAATTGCTACAAATACAACTTGCAACAATCAGATTATGTAAAAGGTTCCTTAAATGCCAAATATTAAGCATATCATTGACTACTTCAAAACTAACTAGTTTTCAATTCATTGCTTATTTGTGAATCTTATTTTATCATTTTATTTTCCATAGTGAATATGGATAAGATGTTATTTATTAATAGAGGCCAAAGAGCAAATCCATCATTAGACACATGATTCACCTTAAATCACAAGTGGCTTCTTATTCATTATCCATCATCTTACAAGTCATGGTCACTATTCTTTTGACATGTCAGAGATGTAATTTTAGTGCTTGAATGGAGCAACACCATAATAGAAAGCTTATACTTTTTTAGTGTATAAAATTCCATGATGCTAAGTATAAATATCAAATGATTGATTCACTATTCAATATGTACATGTATATTTGCAAGAACTTGACTATTTGCATATATATATATATATAGATATATATATATATATATATAAAGCTTTAGGTTGATATTATTAATAGTTTAATAGATCAATAAAAAAATTAATACAAAGCTTATAATCAACAAATAGATTATACTAAATTTTTAAACATACACAAATAGCAAAAGGTGTAGTGTGGTAAAAATTGGCTAAAAAAACTGCCAATATAAGATATAGATTTCAAATTTTCTTCCAAAAACTTTGTCCATAATGGCCCTACAAGCAGTGCTATCCTTTGACTTTGCTCATTGATCAATCAATAGGACTACATGAAAGGGGGCTACCGCTATGCCTAACCCTTTCATAGCTATATTAGATAGTAAGATTCACATAAAAACATCCAACTAATTACAAGCTCTACATTTTTCATGTGTATATATTGCAATTTGAAATGTATGTGTAGCAACTTAAGATGTGCTTGTAGATTTGGGTCTTGAAATAATATCTCTTTAGTATTTTAAAGAAAAATAAAAAATATTAAAATAAAATTTATATATTTATAAATGCATTAAAATAAATTTTAAATGATTTTTTTAAATAACATTTTTTTGTAATATATGTCATAATTTAAAATAATATGGTAAAGATTTAAAATATTAATAAAAAAAATAAAACATTAAACACTTTAATAAAAAAAAGAATCATGATAAAAATAATATATTCAAAATTTTGATTATTATTATTTATATTTTTAAAACAGGTTTTGATTAACTACCACTAAGTTTTTATACAATTTTCAAGGAAAATCTAAATTAGATTTTAATTTAATTTTAAATTTTATCTTTAAATTTATATTTTAAAAAATAATAATAAATAATAATAAATTATTTTTACTACATGTAAATGATTAATTTTATATTTATTTAACATATAAAAATTAGAATATAAGCCTCTATAATTACTTATTCCATTTATTTATAAAAAATTCATTTTCTAACATAATTTATTTTTTTTGTTTCATTTTTAATATTTTCCTCTTACACTTGTACATATAAGCTCTTTAAAATTTGTAATTTCTTTTTATCATTTGTGTATCTCATAGTGTGAGTATAAAAACTTCTTTAAACTCTAAATTATAGTTAGATTGTCTAATAACTATACAATAGTTTTTGTTTTTAATTCTATTGCAATTAGTGTTGACATGGCTAATTTAGATAACTTACACTTCCTCAAGAATGCTCATAGAATCTTGCAAGAACTTATGACATGATAAAATAAAGTCACATGCAGAATCTTTAAAATGAACAATAAGACGATGACATAAAAATAAGAATGAAGCAATAGCATTTAGGAGCAATATATGAAATGTAAATAAAACAAAAAGAAAAAAACAACTTCTAACAGTAACAAAACATGTGTTGCATGCATGCATTGATGTTAGATGATTTCTGGTGAGATCTTAGAATTGATAAAGCAAACAGACATGACATGCATGGTATGTGGATGATATAAGTATCTCATAAACACTTCGGTAGTAACTTCCTCCAGAACTGCTGCCAGGTGAAATGCTGACATTCTGCTATGCAACTAGTTGTAGGAAGAGGTATTGAGTTTGTAAGCGACCAAATACCGCATACAAATACTTGCAACTAATGCTAGGGAGGTGTTGTTTTCCTCAATCCACGGACGATCGTCGAGTGCTGAATTTATAGACTAAATCTACAAAGGAGCTTGGTCAGAACTGGGATTCAATGTAAAATGCTGTCACTCAGTCATGGTGCACAACGTGCTTAAATTCTGAGAAAACACACGAGGATTACAATCATTTCTCTATTCTACTGTTAAAAACACGTTGAAATGCTTCAAAAAGTATAAGGATTCTACTATAAGAACGGCAACATCAGAGAATAATGATTGGTTGGGGGCACGACCATGAAAAATCAACGGCATTGAAGACCCTACAAACACTTGGGAAACAATCCTCAGGTATCCATAAACACGTAAATACCTAGGCCGCTTACACTACGGATCTTCTCCTTATCAAAGCTTTTAATGACTTCGCTACCTCTTCACCGAAATCCTCTTGTGCATGGTGGCCAACCTGATTCAACACCAATCAAGAGAATAAAACGCATCAAAGAAAGATCATTGGTACGGCATGAAGTTCTGGACATGCTTAGCGAGAATTAAGCGTTATGCTGATGCTTATAACGCCTGTAGAAGTAATTTGTGACTTCTGAAGTCGAGGATCTAGTAAGTTATTGATCCCTTGTCAAACAAAAACTACACCCTAAATCCGACAAATGAGCAACGACAAGAAAAAGAAAATTCAGAAGATTTACTTGTGGAAGCTGCACCAGGTCTGCATTGATAGACTTAGCAAACGCCTCAACGCCATTGAAGTCCAACCATCTATCTTTCAGACCCCAAACGATAGACACAGGCTTCTTCCAGCTCGTAGGTGAAAGAATTCTCTTTAACTCTTTCACAAATACCTGTCACACAGCTTCGTACATTAGGTAGCATACTGCTACATTTCGTGTTGTTTGTTCAATTTAACATTCATCTCACGCATTCTCATAGTGGGTTTCGGATTCGGTGCCACTTGAATGACGTTAAGTTTTAAACACCAGTAATTGCGCCTACCATCAGAGTGAGAAAGGTGTGATTCACGACCAAGGAAATCTAAAGTGGCTTTTTAAATCTAGAAATTCAATGTTCAGTGATTTAAAACAAAGGGACACAGTTGTAAACAAAGAGACCTTTCATTTGCACTCATCATGGGTTCATTGCACCCACCTTCAGCTCAATCTTCAAGTTCCTGCTTATGGCCACGAGAGCAAACCCAGAAGCCCCAGAGGTAAGATATGGTCGGCGGTAGACCACAGCATCCTCCTCATCAAGTATGTAAGGACCGCAGTCCGTCAAAGGCTTGTCACTTGCCTTCAAAGGATCCTGCAAGTCACGTTACAATATTCAGAATTGTGATGTGAGCACTAAGATTTGTGCTTAGCACAAACATGAGAAGTAAAATGTGGAGGAAACGCATTATGTTTTTCAACTACGCACTGCACATACTGCTCTAGTTGATTTGGTAACCTCTGCTTTCTACTTGCAGTTACCGAACTTATCAATCGTCCTAGCGATCATCATCAATTGAGTGCAAATACGCAGGTTGCTCAGTCCATCAAATTATTATGTACAATGCGTCAAGGCAAACAAATATTCGAGCCGACTGTCGACTTATGACATACTTGAGCGAAAACTTCGCCGAGGAGGAACGTGGAGAAAGCAGATAGCGATGAGGGGAGCTTTGTATGCTGATCTGTAACCTGCAATAGTTGGCATATTCAAAGATCGTGTACCTGCCACTGTCAGAACAGAAACAGCAAAGACACGGAAGCAGAAAGTCCAAAAGCCGAAGAAGTTCCACAGAATAATCCAGCGGTTTCTTGCATGTAGTGGCTTTCAAGGGAATCTTGTCCATTTAGGTTGAAGTAAAATTTAGGTTAAATGGATCAATAGTTTATGAAGAAAGTTGGACGACTGGCTTACAGGTGGATTGATCAATATCAGCTGCTTCACAGTCTCTTCATTGTTCTTTGCAAACTGCAATGCTGCTGGAACGAAGAATCCCTTCACAATTACAAACACCACGTTATCAGTTCTTTTGAAGTAGTCATTAATTATCTAAATAGCCACCCTAATCCAAGATCATTTCCTACAGAAAACCTTCTAATTATAAGCCAATCATCACGTATCAACCTATTAACCTATTACTTTGTACTTGAGCTTTCTGTCCAATTATGAGCACTGATCTACTGAGAAAGTCCAATCCATTAGTCTAGGTGCATCACAAGAAGCACTGAGTTTACCTGAACAGCTAGAGTAAAATTGTTCAAGTCCAAGGCATCCACCAACAACTTCAATGCCGTGGCATACTCTGCCAACATCCTCCATTTCAGTCCAAACCACAATGTTGACTTTCTTTTCCAATGTTCGTGTTTTGGTTGAAATAAGAGCAACTGGAGGAGGAACCCAGGCAAATACGAAAACTTGCAGTCCTCCAGACCTTCGCAGGCTACAGAAGTAAATAGCGCGACACTCTAGAACCTGTATTCGACTAGTATGAACCTGAACATAAAAATCCCTTGGCGGAGCTTGACAAGTCAACATATCAAGATACCATAACAAATACATAGTACGCTTGAGAGCATCACTTATATATCTTTCAGAGATAAGGTGCCTCTTAGGTTCCCTCCATACATTTATATGCAACGAATAGCAGTAGTCCTCAATAGAAATAAGTAAAGAAATAAATTGAAGATGTCCTCGCACCATCTGTAGTGTAGTTGAATCCATACTTGGGCTGGGGCTTGTCAGAAAATCCAAACCCTGCAAGACCGCTTCCATGGTGTTTATGCCGTGTCTGTGCCTTCATCATAACAATGGATGTGGTGCACCAAGTGATTTTTTGGTAGCAAACATTATGAATTTACTTTTAAAATTTTATCCTTCACTCAGGGCACTTAAATCGCACAATCGTTCAATTGATAGCCTAACAACAAAAGATTAAACATAACGTTGTGATTCGGTTTAAAGACTTGCCTAACCAGTCAAAGGCGACTACGTGATAGTCAGAAGAAAGATCTGACATCACATTCCGGTACGAGTATGCCTGCACACATTAACAGGGCATTTTTGAATCGCAGTGACAGTCAGAGATTACCTACATAAAATCCGACCGAAGTTTTTGGGGTGTCTCCTTCACGGCAACATTCACGTATGATATCCGGGTAAGGAAGAGTCTCGATGGAACCTTTAGATCGTCATACCTGCGAAGGAAACCCATGAACAAGGAGAACGGTAGGATTCTTCCGGTCACCTTCCTCCACGTAAAACCATCTAGCAATTCATGCATTAAGACAACGTCATTAGGCCGAACATGCAAATGACTCGAGAGGTCACGACTCAGACATGCCAAAGCTTTCAGTTAACAATGCTCTATTTTCGAGAGGGGTAGGCTTGGACTCTAATCATTTGGCAATTTGTTAATCCTAATTCGAGTAAATCTTATTTTCGACGTACACAAACTAGTGCCATTCACTCACGCAAGACAGGGGTCCAGTCTAGCTCAATCAAGTTATGTAAAAACCGCTCTTGATCACCTCAAGCGCAGTCTCGCGTCACCTGTAAATACTTGTAAATGTGTTCATTCTATAGTTGAATACACACTCTTGCTAAAAGATAGATTTCAAACATGCGAGTATTTAACATTGTTCATCAGGAGAACCTGAAAGAATCATCTGATGTCTGAGAGGCTTCGCCCATAGCAAGTCCAAAAAGAGGGTCCTTGGCTTTCTCCAATCCCCCTTCCACTGGATATGCCTTCACCTGCCACCCCATCAACATTATTATAACCAAGTTGGCAACCCCCTGTGCTCACAATAAATATGCACAACTCCGTGCAGATCACAACAAATTGCTAATCTCTATGGAAGGGTATCATTTGAGGATATTGATACTAGTAACGAAATGACTCACCATTTTACCACGAGCAAACCATTCATCTGCGCGCCCAAGCTCATCGGAGTACTTTCCTGCCAGAATTGAAAATTGAATGACGTCTCGATTTAAACAATAATTGCGAGAGTTCCATCCCGGGTGCGAAATACACCTAATAGGCCTTGGATAAATGCATTGTCACATGCTGGCCATACCGTTAATTGTATTCCATTTTTCAAGCTGGAAACTTCAGCAAAAAAGCACAGCACATCAACACAGTCCTGGGCCAAGAACATGCAGAGAGAGATGCTCTTGTCGCGAGAAAACCTCACCACCAGCAAAAGAAAAGCCATCTCCTGCCGAAACAGGCGCATCTATCAGGTAATCCTGTCAACACAAGCTGCATTACAGAATGTCCTAGAGTGGTACTTGAATTTTCTTATGCATGTGCCCTACAAATAATCAGAAATACCACGCTGATAAAAAAATCAGTTTTCACAAGGAAGCATCCTGGACTGCTTCAACAATCAGTATGTCAAGTTTAGAAATGCTGAATTGATGAGAACGAGGCTAATTGGTCGATAGAATCATTGGAGCATGAGTTCGACGAAGGAAAACAATGAGGAAGAGATGCGACTCCACCAAGAAGTGGAATGGTTTTCCAAAGTTTTACAAGCTCACTCCGGCGGAAGATACGAAGAAGTGTCATGTAACTAATTAGCAAAGCAAGGTACAAGATAATTGCCTCGTCCTCATCGGCGTACATTGCTCGGGTCCTCTGGGAGCGCTTTATTGTCGTCAAATTTGGGTGAATCCGGCGAAAAGTCGTGGCGCGAAAATGTTTTTGAGACTCGATTATACAGAATCTTCGAGTGCCACGATGAGAGCGAGACGCCTGGTCTATAAAGTCGCGGACCTGAAGAATTGATGCAACTATTGTGCACCGAGCAGTCGCCATTGAAACCAAAAAGAAGGTGTCGGACCAAATTGAACAGACGAGCCAAGAGACCAAGAAGTTCGCTGAACTTTGATAGCAAGAATGTGCATCTGATTAACACATCCAGACGTTCAGAACAGACCGATAGCAATTTCAACCTAAAACAATACAAATTCCAGTCACGACTTCGAACAACATTTCAATTCTCTCTCTCTCTCGCTCTCTCTCGGAAGCACGTACCAGCGAACTCCAACCAACTTACAAGCCACCATTCGTGTGGTCGAAACCTGCCGCTACGACCAGTCCAACAAAGCTTTTCTCATCAACTTCACGAGAAGAATCATTTCAGCATCAAGTTAGAACTCCGCCATGGATTCTCCACGCCCTTTCCCTCCTGCCCACCACACACATGTCTGCAATCTCTAGGAGCAAAATCCAGAGACTTTTTGCCCTGTCGGTGTAAATTTCCGCCAAATAAAAGGCCAACTTCTGAGGAATGAAGAAGACAGGTTGCGAACATTGCAGCTACTATTCTGGAGCACACAACCACACCAGCAGGATCTGCTCAATCCACATTTCCCCTTAACGTCATTGTTTTACCATCCACCTCCGCTTCACTTAAAAATCCTTCGCAATTGCTGTTCCACTTGTTCCAGAACCCGCCGTGCAACACTTTCGAGCTCAGATGCGCTGACAATCCTCGATCCTTGTTCGAATGCGACGGTCCGAGGGCCTATTCAGTGGTGAATGCGCGGCTTCGATTGCAATATAAAAATGCTTGAACCCCCTGCCCCTTAAACGTGGTTCGGAAAAGTGAAATTGCGGGCCCCAACATAAATATTTACTCTCCTCGAGGATACAAAGGACCTCAAGAAAAGCTTCTAAAGACGACGACGACGAATGCCGAGGACATCGCAAGCTCTTCGTCCTTCACTCTGAGAGTCGCAGGAACTCAAGCAATTTCGTTTGTGATTAAATTAGGTTTTGCATCCCTTGGAAGAAATTATATCGGTTGTAACTGTAGTTTTTCATGCACTAGTTCATGATATGATTGTGAATACCAGATATAACAACTCTTTCAATACATTGTTATCTGATAAAGTGAACGCTAAGAATAATTCCAGCATTTACAAATATGACAGGCTTGTCTTTGTTAACTGTTATATTTTTCATAGGAAAACTTTTGACATTGAATTTATTAACCCCCCAAGTTTTCATTCCTATTCCAAAGCTTTCATCCAACCATACTATTATTTAAAAATGTGATATCTTGCAAGAACAATTACAAACACTTGAAGCTTAAAATTTCATTGAAAGGATTTCTGAATAATACACGAAGGTTCAAAGTGTGGATTATTGGCGGTTATAGGACCATGACAGGAGCATTACTGCCACGTCGGGGGGGGCAGGTGGTTCTAAAGCCGTGAACGGGCCTCCTCTTCGTGAGGGAGGGAGGGCTCTCGGGAAGGGGGGTCGAGGACAGAGCACCCTGCTGCTGCTGCTGCATCGGATAAGGCGTTCTGTCAATCGGACAAATTCGTCAAGCAGGCCCTGATGATGCTATGGTGAAATTTGCATAGATTCTGTGTTTCGGCCCTCGGGACGGTGTTATTTTGTCCCTGGGAGCATTCAGCAGTACGGCGCAGAGAGTCCAGCAATGGCTGCAAACGCTGCGACGACGTCTATGGCGTCGCTGTCTCTGCGCGGCTCCTCTTTCCGCGAATTTAATGGCTTGCATTCTGCACCCACTGTCCGCCCCGCTTTGTCATCCCCTGCCCAAGGTTGGTCGCTACTGGGCTGGTATATGCCAGTCGTTTCCCATAATTTTTGTTTGTTCTGGGCCACAGTCGATTTCTCCGCGAGGTTTATGAGTTTCCGGAGGATTTTAGATCGCGAAGCAGAAGGAATGGAGTTGATTGTATAGTTTTTCTGATTCTTGTTACATAGTCTTGTTCATGATGCTGTCGGGCGTTTCGCCACAGCTCTTGGACATGATAAGGACGAATCAGCTGTAATTTATTATTATTTATTTATTTATTATCTTTTCTAATTTATTTCCTCAGTTTAAGGCTTCTTAGTCATAATCTCAGTGAGAATGATGGTTTTAGGATTTCTTCGTAGTGTTTCTGTTTTAAAATACGTAGATGATTCACCCAACTGGGCAAATTTTTGTCTTATGGGTGATGTTAAATACGTTTGAATTTTTTTTGGGTGACCGTAATTTCGTGTAGTTGTGTCGTATGTCTCAGATTTTAGATGTGGCCATTGCAGATGCAATGAGGAGGTCATTGAGGATTGAAGCCGCCGAAGAATTGGCAGGAAAGGGAGGAGTGCGGATTAGATTGGTTCGCATTGGTCGTAAGAAACTTCCATACTACCGTATTATCATCGCCAACAGCCGCTCTCGCCGTGATGGAAAGTTTCTAGAGATGGTTGGCCACTATAACCCTATGCCGGGTACGATTCTCCTAAATGCCGTAGAAATTGAATTTTTGAGAATGTTATGATTCTCATAAACTCGATGAATTATTAATGTCCTTTATGATCTGATGTTCTCTGGTTTCATTGGCTTTATGCACCGTATGAGGGCGATCGACTGAATCATGGAATTCTTTCGAATCTTTCCAATGTCTCACTGTTGTGCTTGTGTTGCAGATAAGAATGGTACAAAGGACATTCAGGTGAATTTCGAAAGAATCAAGTAAGGCAATCTTTCGTTTATCTGCCATCCTTACTCTAAATCAATCATGAATGCCAACTATGGTCAACCACGACACCCACTTGATCTAAATAAGTTTTCATTTGTTTACAGTTGTAGAGATTTGTTCTCATGCATTTTCTAACGTGTGCAGGTACTGGCTGTCAGTCGGAGCTCAACCATCAGACACTGTTAGAAACATTCTTTACAAGCAAGGAGTTATGAGTCCCTTTTCTCCAGAGACTACTCCTGAAGCCTGAGCCCTCCATTTACTGACGGAAATTTTTAGTTAGAGACATTAGAACTGCGTCGTTTCAAGCGCTGTTATCGGCTGCCATTTGTCCCCAATGATGAGTAGTCCATTGATTTTGCCATCTGTGTACGTGTCAATTACAATTTCTGTTCTTTGACTTCCTAAGTTTCTTTTAAAATGAAATCCTCCAAGCATGGGAGGCATTCCTTTTTCTTGTTTCTTTTAACATATTGATGCACACGAACTTAACCACGATAATTTCGAATTCCCGCAATATAGACCAGTGTATGCCATCGTATTGTCTTCTATATTGCTGCGAATCTAAGAATTAATTTCGTTCCCAATACAAGCACTAACACTCGCGAACAGTCAGTTACATGTCAGTTCGTACTCACTAGACACACACATGAGAAGGGGAATGATCTACATATTCTTTGACGTAAAGTCGCTCTTCATTGGAATCCTCTATAAGTGTACATCTCGGTGTCTCTAGCAGACATACTTGAGCAGCCTAATGCAGCTCATGCTAACTGATTAAGAGATTGTGTGCAGTGTAATGATGTGTCATAATGATAAATGAAGTCCCTACCTTAATCGTAAAATTGGGACCCTTGAGCTGCCACTTCACAAATACAACACAGCCCGCCTAAATCTTGCGACCTTACGATCACGTCCAGCCTGCTTGTTCACTTCACAGCCATATTGAATTACTGTGAAAAATTGTCAACTGAAACGATGTCAATCATTTCGGTGCTCCTCAGAAAGCCCTCTGAAACGACGGTGGATGCTAACAGTGAGCTCCACCAGAAATTCTCCTTTTCCATCGCACAAAGAGCTTCACACTAACAAATGCCCATTGCCCAGTGAGTAGACTATGAGCCGCAGAATCCCGCTTCTATCGGTCAAAAGTCATCTGATACTTCAACTCGGCCACCGACAATATCATGTGGAGCGTCAAACATTTCCCAAGTTCTTGTAGCCAAACTGCAAAGACACATATGCTTAGGCTGGTCAAATTCGCAGCTTCGATGAAGCCAAGCAATCATAAGAACATACTCCCCACAGAAGCTCGACCATATCTTATCGTCCTCGCATGAAAACCATCTGTTGTACAAGTTAGATGGCATGCGGAGATACTCCCTCCATTCCAGGGACGATGTTTGAAGCTCACATACTGAGATAGAATCAAAGCTTACACCATCGTGATGCTCTGTCACAGTAAACAACCGACCTTGCCATGTCCCTAATGAACCACCATAGGTACGGGCATCTGGAAGCTGCTCTGGAGGATTCAATCGACTCCAAACGGCCTTCTGTAGGTCGTAGACCGTGATAATGTCAGGAGCAACGGATCTGATGTACAAACTGTTGTTAAAGTCAACACATGTGGTAAGATGAGGAGGCCTTCGGCAAGAAGGTTTCGCAAGGTTTGATGACCATGAGTCTGTTGTGGAATCATAAATCTGAGTGCCGAAATCAACGTCCCCTCGTATGATCTTGAAGGTGTGGGGTGTGACTGTCGTGTCCACCACCATGCCGTCCCAGGAAACCTCTTGCTCCAATGCCGGAAGCGTTGGGAGTAGATATTCCTTGGAAACATGCGTGTCCATAACATACAGCTGAAGCTCCCGGGCTGGAAATCGGTAGCGGTCTGAGCTGTAGAGCATGCCGTGGAGGGAAAAGGCAAGGACGGGAGGTTTTAATGGTGTTTTCCGCTCCACTATTCGCTTCCATATCCATTCTCCACGGGAGATGTTATAAGCCAGAAGTTTTGGTTTGGACCAACTGAATGGCATCAAGACGAAGTAAGGCCTAGGGATGAGATCCTTGAAGCCGCGACGCTCACAGGCTATAGAGTTCCAGCTTTTACAAACCTCTCGAAGCAAGAAGAATGACTGGAGTGGCAACTTCTCGTAGACCATCTCTAAAGGAATGTACTTCTGCAAATCGCCCCATAGATCTACATCCATCGCACAGTCGTTCTGCCTCTCCTTGCCCTTAAACTTGTTCAGTGACTTGTTCAAAGCCATAGTGTCAATAGCTGCGGCATGCGGAGGGTTCTGGAGGCCCTGAAGCAACATACCGATCGCGATTCTACAATCAGATTACAATTAGAACAAGTATACAAATGGAACAAAAATCAAAAATATTTATCCCTGGAACTCTGATTAGTAGTCTGAGTAGGTTACGAAAAATAGAAGTAGCAAGTCTTTGACACATAAATTGCAGATAGCGATAAAAGCCCAAGAAAACACTACACTAGGATCACAACCTAATTTAGCTCATGCCGGGTTCTGCAACAAGTTGAATGTCTTCAAGAAACATGAGGTCATTTTGAAAAAAAGACTAAGGAAAAAAACGGGGGATTCATAAAACCAGATTATTACGAGCACTACAAGGATTGGTAATTTCTACTCGACGTGAGCTTGTGTTGTATATTCTTCTCAAACTTTAGGTTTTAGCTATAAACCCAGCCCTGGAAGAAGGATCCAAGTATAATCTCCACTCCAAAACCATAGAGGTACTTCTACTACGTTAAGAATCTCGACACTGACGTCGAAAACGTTGCTAGAGTCTCCGCATCACATTATAGCTATCTGCTTCCGGCTGAAGGCCGAGAATCACTCTCCAAGTACTTGAGACTAATTGCAATTCCAATAATAACTACACGATACCTATGAAATGTCGCACTGGTCTCTCAATTCTCTAAATTCGACGCGCCATGTGCAAAATAACAACCTATAAACTCAAGTCGGTGGTGTAATCAACGGTGAAGACTACTCTACTGTATGCAAACCACCACCACCACCACCACCATTCGCGAGAAGAGAAGCGCGAGTGAAAACGAATTAAGTCTGACATGATCGAATTTCTGAAACTGTGACCGACGATCTACAACTGAAAACCCTGATTTTTGTTCACTTCTTATCAACATACCCAATTGTATTGAAAAATTCAAAAAAATCAAAAAATATGTATATATATATATATATATATATATATTCTCAGCCCTCCCAACAATTCACAAGTTCAGGATCTTCAACAGCCAAATGGTACGTGCCTTAGACATGATAAAATCAATGAGGAATTCAACAAACGGGCTATATCACCACAAACGGGGCTCTGCACTTCAACCTTCCTTCAGCGTAAACCATAAAAATTGACCACCCGTGTCCTCCTCGGATTCTAATACCCGGGCTCTACCCCAACATTGAAAGAGGCGCGGAACTAATTCGTGAAACTGACTAGAACCCAATTCGCCCTCCACCTCCACGCCCAACCGAGAATGAAATGCTCGCGAAATCCAACTCCCACTCGCTCATAAAAACTCTTCCGGAAGTGCAATACAAAACTCTCAATACAAAACCAACGCTCTCGTTTGTACCATTCTCTCCGACATTCGCAACATACCCGAATTAACCAAAAGTCTGCGATTCTGGGTTGTGTTGCGCGGACTGCGCTTGCAGCACTGAAATGGACGCGACAATCGATGCTGCAGACAATCGACTTGTTCTTTAAACCAAAACGCGGTAGAATTCGCAGCGGCAAAGAATCAGGAAGTCTGTAAACAATTTCGTCATGGTCGGCTCGACTCTTCTCTCCCAAACTATCATCCGTCAGGTCGATGAACGTAGGGGTTCTGTTCATTCGCTGTAGGAGGCCATTCAACGTGGCCTCGAGATTGAAAGTTGGGTTATGCTAAACTTAATTTTTGAATCTATAAAAGAATTGAATGCATTCAGATGATCTTTGCAGGATTACACCTTCCTTCTTACTCCAAGGGTTTTGGAGCTGGATCCGTAATTAGTAATTTGAATGTGTTTGTTGAAACATTATGTGTTTATTAGATTGGGAATATTATAATCTAAAATGGGTCTTGATACTTGGTGTACAACAGCATTCAAGGACGTGTGTATATCTAATTTGAAGTGATTGAATCTCATTACATGAGAATATCAAATTTTACTTTAATTATTTATGTTGTCAATCGTATCAATGAACACATGAGGGTTGAGGGTTGTGTGATTTAAATGAGAGATTTATTGACTTTCCACATGAACATAAGTCCCATAGAAGAATAGATACATAAAAATATATACAATGCCCACTCAAAAACGTTTTTGACCATGCTTTCTTTTGAGACAAAGTTATGGCCAAATCCTACGTACAAGTTTTCCCACTTGCACAAGACTACAACCTTCTTGCTATATTTTTCACTTTGTATAACTATGGCTATATGTAACATCATTAATTTCTATGCAAGACTCAAAAGTGCACTTACATAATAAATTAAAATAAATAAGAAAATAATTTTCTGTTCATTTAATTTTTTTCTACATATCATCTTGTCAAAATTTGTCTTTGTACTAGCTTATCTTGTAAATTATCTTGTATAAAAATCCTAATGAAAATTTGCATAAGATTTTAGATAGGTTTTATTTATTATTTTTTATATCAAATAAATCTTTTTAAAATTCTATCCCTGGTATAATAATATAATTTTTTATTATTATTATATATAATCAAATTTTTCAAAAAAATTCAAGACTTTATTTTATTAGTGGCTCTATTTAGAAACCTCATACTAACTAGATGTAAAACAAATTAGCAACATTCTTCAAAACAATATATATATATATATATATATATATATATCTATTGTCATACTATGTATTTTTTTAAATTAGCTTTTAAGATGCATTCTACCTTATTACTTTTTCTTGATAAAACAATCTACATTTGTGTGTATTGCTCCAATTCAATGTTAAATTTTAAAGTCAAATTCTTGCATTGATAATATCCATCAAGTTTTTATTTTTTATAGCATTTGATATACCAGTAAGATATATCAACACTTGATAATTTGTAATAGATTTGTCTGATTTATTAATAAGGAATGCAATTCTTTTTAATACACATATCATTGCCAAATCTTATCTTTTTATCACAAGACACCCACTAAAGCATTGATAGTCTTTATTATCTATTTTATTATTACACACAACATCTTTGCAATGGAAATAATTTTTTATGGGCTTATATTAATGCAAACCTTTCAAATTATATGTCCTATCATTTTTCTTTCTGTAAAGTCTATCTTTGGCATTTTAGCATTTAATGTGATTCTTGCCTTCTTAAGATTTTAAAAGTGTTAGACAAGTTTTATCCAACTTCTTAGAAAATTGGATCAATTTTATATTTTTAAATTTATCCATATATATTCTCACAAATAAATCAAATAAGGTTTCTAAAATCTTGATTATTGATCTTTAAAATGTCCTATATGTATTGCATAATCCTAAAGACATTATTGAGTAACAAAATCTATCCTATGATGTAACAGAGGTCTTGATTTGGTTCTTTGAAGCAATATTTAGTTCATAGTATCTGCCATATTCATTACTAGTTGTATATATTTCATAACCATATAATTCTTCTAATATTTAATCACAAAAAGAAATTCAATACCTTTCTTTTTATTTCATTTATATATATATAATATTTTTATACCTTCAATATTAAGTTCTATTTTTGTATGTTTTGGTTTTTTTTGGCACTTATGTAATAAAAAAAAAAAATTAAAAATCCTTCAAAGTACTTAATTGGTTTTTATAAAACTATACTTTGACAACTTGTTGAGGTCTCTTTTTATAATGTCTACATGCTTTGGATTCAATAAATACAGTTTTTGCCTTATTTGCCTTATTTGCCTTATTAGCAACTCAATCTTTTGCACATCCAAAGCCAATTCTTTTAAATATTTGCAACTAAAAGCCCAAATATAGATTTGCTTATACAACAACCTATTGTATTCTTCACATTGATTTATTATTAAACTATTTTCTAATTCAGTCTTGTCCATTTTATCTTTGATTTTATCCTCAGTTAATAGAACTTATTTACACAAAGAAATCATTTATTATTTCTTTTGCATCTTGAATATTAAGAATATCTATACTTTTGAGAACTAATTACACCATTTTTTTTATAAATTTAAATTTTTTACTATCACTTAAAATTTTTGTATAATTGTTTTTAGATTCTATGTCATTTTGGTTGTAGAAATCCAAACTACAGTCAAAATAATTATTATTTGATCCTTTACCAACATACAGGATTTTAAGTTTTGATAATTTGATTTTTTTTGTTTTGAAATATTTAAAAATAAATAAAACTTTACTTATATTTTAGCAAAATAAAACCTTCTATAATTAATTAAATAAGCGCTATTTTCTTTATTTACTACAAAAAAATGTATTAATGTTGTCATTTTTAAGACACACATTGTCACATCCTTGCAATTTCTATTGACTTCATGGTAATCTACTAATTACTTGGAACCACGGAATCTATGAGATTAATCTAAAAATCTACGATGAGGAAGGCGAAATCGGAAGAAGCGGCGAGGGGGCAGGAAGAGGCCTCGCATGGAGTTGAAGCGCAGGGGTTCCAGGGGTTTAGGTTATCGCAGGAAGGAAGCACGGAGTAGGGCCGTGGCGAAAGTGGTGGATGTGGAGCAGGCTCGCCAATCTTCGCGAGAGAGAGCAGAGAGTGAGGGTGAGTGAGGGTGAGTGAGGGAGAGAGAGAAAAGAGAATCCAGGTGAGGGAGGGTGTTGTGGCAGGTCTGTAGCGATGGGGATGGTACGCATCAGGCTCGCGCGCTTCGGCCGCAAGAACCTGCCATTCTATCGCATCTTCGTGGCTGATAGTCGCTCTCCTCGTGACGGAAAGCACCTTGAAGTTGTCGGGCATTACAATCCCTTGCCCGGTGAGAAATCTTCTTTGCGGTTGAATTCGCCTATTTCATTGCTGGGCGTTTTTTTTTTTTTTTTTTTTTTTTTTTTTTTTTTTTTTCCCACACTCTGTGTGACTATGTCTTTTGATTCTGATGGTTTGCATTGACTACGAGAAAACGAGAGCTCTGCTGTGCAATTCACTTTGTCTTTCGCGAGCCGAATTTAGAATATATGCTCACGTACGATGGATGAGATTTCCTGCTTCATAAGTTGGAGCCAAGGTGGTCATGGTTTAGGGTTTGAAGTTCGGCATAGTATGCTGAGGCTTACGGGGTCTATTCTCGTTCAGGGAAGGATGGTATGAAGCGTATTGGTGTAAATAGCGATAGAATCAAGTAAGTATCCCTTCTTTGCATCCCTTTTCGTCTTGGCATAATCATCTATATACATCGCAATGCTTATACGCTCCATGTAAGTTGTCAACAAATTGAAATACATGGTTGTTGACTTGGTGTTTTCCCTGCTGTTGGCAGATATTGGTTGTCAGTTGGGGCTCAACCATCAGATACAGTACGAAGACTCCTTAACAAAGCAGGGATTTTACCAGCTCCTCCTGTTCCGCACATGCCGAAGAAGGGTCCAAACCCTTGACTCAGAAAAAATGGTTAGTTATTGTTGGATTAGGATTTGGCAATAATAATCAAGTAGGGCCCCACTTCTTGGATCAAAAGATGAGTGACATACTTGGAAGACCTATACGGTATCGGCACAAGCCCCATTTGAAGATCTGTTTCGGTGATTAGAAATTTCTAATGTTATATGCATCTGATTCAATCATGAATGCAAGAGCTTTCGATCTTTGGAAAGGCGATTGATGGTGTCCAATGTACGAGCTCATGGAGTTCTCTGTCTGTTCTTTTTCCTTCGTCCACACGTGTAAAATTTGTCTTCTTTCACGTGGTTTGTTTTCTACTACCTCCTTATTCCTAAATATTATCTTGATTTTTTTTAAGATCCCGGTGGATTGTTCTTGCATTAAATTCTACTTACAGCTGATCCTAATATAGCTTAGACTGGAAGAGTCCATTACACAAGTTTGAGAATTTGAATCTTGTTAAAGTGATTTTTGCTGTTCGTCAGACTTTCTCAGCATCCAGGTGAGGCGCTTTATCGTGCAATGTGACAAGCTGCAAACTGGTATTGGATTTCATTGCAGTTCTGTTGAAATGGATTGTATTCGGGATCAATGTGTTGCTGTGCTAAATATGGCGTTCTGCAGTTGATTGGACATGCAAAAGTGGAGTTCAGGTGGACTAAATAGAGTGATCTGGAGTGGCATTAATCATAGAAGAATGAAGTAGAGTTGGAATAAACATAGTAAAGTGGAGTGGAGTTGAGACGAACTATGTAAGAAGTGGAGTGGCATTAACCATAGAACAATGAAGTTGAGTGGGAATAAACATTGTAAAGTGGAGTGGAGTTGATAGAACAATGAAGTAGAGTTGGAATAAACATAATAAAGTGGAGTGGAGTTGAGACGAACTATATAAGTGGAGTGGCATTAATCTTAGAACAATGAAGTAGAGTTGGAATAAACATTGTAAAGTGGAGTGCAGTTGAAACGAATTATATAAGGAGTATAAGGAGACAAGGGCTTCACTTTTCTCCGTCGTCGCTTGTCGCTTACCGTCGTTTGTAGCTCTTGGCGTAGGTGTGTGGGTGTTTACGCAATAGCAGCATGGCGGCGCCTAGGACATGTGTATTGTTGGCCTTCATTTTGCTCCTCTGTATGACTCTCCCAGGGGAGGGGTTGAGTGGCGAAAGGGAGAATGCCAAGGGAACAAGAAAGCATTTCGGGCCTTGGATTCCTCTGCCGCGTCCTCTGCCAGGGGCACTACCTCCCTTGGCAGACCTTCCTCCGCTGCCAGCATTTATACCACCGTTTCCTGATTCTACGAGTTCATCGACTTCCACTACGAGTGAACCGTAGACAAGAGATTTGACCTTTTTCAAATGCTGATTTTGAGGTTTTAGTCGTGCACTCATTTTTGAGTATGCGTAGTATGCATTTGAAAGGAAAGGAGAAAGTATATGCTAATCTTTTGGATTGGTGCATAGAAAATCTAATCAATCGTAGAGACGAACTGTACCTGCGAAAAGCTTTGCACTGTCGCTGCGAATAAAATTTAGTGAATACGTTTTCACTCATTCACACGGTTCCATTGTATTATCCAATTCGATCATTTGATGTGACTGCAATGGTCTTCCTTATTTGTGCTTCGTTCCAATGAGGTTGAGTACAGTAATTGATGTGTGAAGAATTGTATTGGGCGTCAGTTCTCACTGAGATAGCTTCCCCTGGTGTCGTTGAATGATTTGGCTGATTCAATCGGAACAATTACAGCACGTGTGACCAACTGGGACCAGGAACATCATCACCAACGATGATAAGGGTAGCAACTTCTGAACACCTCCGCATGTAATCAATCCCACTGCAGCAGTGTCAAGAAGTTCTGAGAAATATTCCGTCTACAAATTAGATGACCCACTGGAGCGAAAACGGGTGAATGAGATTTGATCTCTTTCATTTCTGGTTTGGCATACAAGCTCAGCTATCGATCGCATCAACATCAATCTATCACTATCCGTTTTGTGCAGAATGGAAAGAATTTGCTTGCATGTGTGGGTTGTAGACAGAAGAAATTGTTCAATTACTGGCAGGGATTGCGGACCCAATTTCTAGAATCACCTGGATTATGGAATGAGTTTGAGGTCTAACTTGTGCATCTGATTCGTCAGCAAGTCGTGTGTGTTGAATCATGGTGGCCTCGCATTGGCTCACTCTGTGGTGTTCTGTAATAAAATTGCATTGCAGGCTTTTGAGGACGAAGGTTTGTGAGCCCAGCTGAATAGCTCCAACTCCACCCAAGAGCTGCTGCATAGGAAGCAGCTGGGCACGAAACTGTGAATCATATTTTGGTTGTTACTTATTTTCATGTTCATTTATTTTTGCAATATTTTCTGATAAAAAAGGAATGGGGGTTAGCATAGTGTTTGATTATAAGATATAAGGTTATTCCTCATTTTCTTTTGAAGTCCACCAAATCCATGAATTTAAGCATCTTGATACATGAATACATGTTTGCAAATTATTTCAACTCTTTGACCAATTCAAAATTAAAAATGCAGTAAAGCTCTTATATATCTTACTATGTTTCCATTTCAATGTGTTTATTTTTGTGCTCCAACAAATGTTTTTGTTATTGTGGACAAGATCTTTATCAAATCACATGTAAAATTATTAAAATATGTTTTTATTTTTTACTTTTCTAGTGCTTGATTTCTTTTGATCTATGTCTTTTAATTATATAAATAAGAAAATTAAAATTTTGTCTTAGTATCAAATGTTGCTACTTGGACATACTTAAAATTTAATTCTTACAGGTACTACCAGACGTGAAGCAGCACCTAGTGAACCATCCTCACAATACAATTCAGTCCAGCACCAATGCAAAATATACAGTTCAATAACATTATATTGTAATGTAAATCCAGTCGGAAGCCTAGCTGAAATGAAGTATGGGTGAGACGAAATGTATGCGACTTTTGTAGCCCAATCATCAGTAAGACGACACAATGATTGCCAGCAAACAGAGGCTCAGGGGCACGTCATAAGAACTTCCATCATCTAAATTTACAAAACCCCAAAACCACACTGGTCACGTAGTGAAACAGACTCATTGTACGTGTTCTGATTAATCTGAAATTCCAGTGCCTTTCAAACAATTTGCATAGTATACGTTCATATCGAATGGCTAAAGTAGGAAGTCTACTGACAAAAATTCAAAAAGGCTCAAACTTGATTGCTGTGAGCTTCAAACGAAAGTGATATCATAAAAAAGTCAAGACTATAGAAGATGGTGACACCCTAAGGGTTAGAATTTGGTGCCTCAACCTTCATGCATGACAAAAACCGAGTTCAATGGTATGAGGAGCAATCCAAAACGCAGAACACTCAAAAACAAACTCGTCACAAAATACAAAATAAAAAGAAAGAAAGAAAGAAAGAAAGAAAGAAAGAAAGAAAGAAAGAAATAAAAAAGAAGAACGAAGCATCAACATACACAAAGACCAAGTCATCGAGTCAAGTAAAGTATAATCTGCAGCCACAATTTCCTCAGAAATTTGAGGCAGCAGCAAATATATTCCCTTGGCCTGAAAACTCCACTAGGAATGGTTTAGTTTGAGGTCTCTACAAAGCAATCTCATATGTACGCACTGTCTACGTAGTTGGATCTTCCTGTGGGATCAAAAGAGATCGCGATTGGTGAGAGCCAATCAAAGAATCAAACTCAGAATTGTGCATATTTTGTACACCACCGTTGGGACCTGGTCTGGTTTTTCTTTACATACCACTATCCGACAACCTTGTTCTCTACGGTTGCTGCAACTCGCCCTACAAACAAACATCCCAGCTTCCTAGAAGCAGAATCTCAAGCTCCATTGCTCAACAAATCAGTCAGTAAGCAATCCATCTCCTCCGAGCATCAAAAGCGTCACAACGAGATGCAGCCGAGATCCTACAGCATGATAGAATCCATGTTCAAAGCTTGTAAACTCTCCAAAGAAAGATGATCCAAACCCCTCGCTGGAGAGCTAGATTGAGAACAGGGTAGGGAGAGTACCTAATCCTCGGGTCAATGTAATTCTTAGGTGGTTAGGTTGAGCGTGGGGAAGCGAAGGGATCGATTCAAAGCCTTCACATGATTCACAACGCGTGAGATGGATTGGTTGGTGGAGATCATGGAGTACTGGCGGGGGACATGGCGAGGTCTGGCTCAGGAAAACTAAAAGTGGCGTCCATAGCCAACGCGGCCGAAGGTGTGAAGCAACTACTGGAGCCGTAAACGTTCCCAAGTCCAAAACCAAATCCATTGGGACTTGGGAAGCCGGTGGGGCTAGGGAGGCCGAAGGTATTGGAGAATCTGAGATTGGAGAACGTGGGCGACATGGGAGGAAGAGATGAAGTCGCAGTTGCGCTCGTATCTGGCTTTGAAGACGGACCATTACCTTCCACGATTTTTTCAGCAAGTTGTCGGATCACTGCGCTGCTAGGCGACTCCAGCCCGTTAAGAGCATTCACCCATCCTTGATCACTCGGTGACAGCTTGGGTAATGGAGAGAAGGATAATGGAGGCGGAATTGAAAATGGCGAGGCGCCATGGTTTGACAGAGGGGAGAAGTTAGCGAAAGGAAACGAGGGTTGATGAGTCGTAGCGGGGTTTGTTTGCGGCTGATAAGAAGCTTGAGCTTGACTTTGAGCGGGGGGGTGGATAAGAGCAGGATAAGTGCCGGTTGGCCGCAATGGTGGCGGGGCGATCCGTTGCAACCTGGAGATAGGAGGCTTCGGTCCAGAAGGAGGAGGATTCGCAGGTTGGGAGGTCCCTGTCAACTGCTGTACCAGAGAGCGGAAGTCGCTCGGTTCTGTCTTGTACACCTGCGGAGCTAGTCTGGGTTGTGCCAACGTCGGTCGCAAACCTTTCCTTATCTTGCTGGAAGATTTACTCACTGCCAACGACCCTCCGCTCTTGCTACCTTTCCCTATCTCTCCTGCTTCCCCTAAGTCCATGGATATGGGGGCTGCCATGAAACTCAACCTGCTTGCGAGGTTCTCTAAAGAACTCCTCGTGCTCCTACTCTTTCACAACGAACTTTTCATACTAGGGTTGCGCTGACGAATTGCGACGATTGCCATGTGTGCAGCACCCGACGAAGAGCTTTCGCGATGGCATGGACACGCAGCGAAAGCTACATACTTACCCACACATCACTATCCTCGAGCGCAACTAAGCAACACCTGAAACGCCACAACAGCACTGTTTCTTAAGTTGAGAGTCCTGAGACACTCCCACAATTCCTTGCTCCTCTCGGACCCAAACACTCCGTTCACTTCACATCTTGTACATAGACCCACTGACAATCCAGAGCGGCCACCACTTAAAATTACCACCAATTGGACAATTGGCTTCACAATACTGAATACCTCCAAGAGAAAGAGGATATTTCCAAGCTTGAATTTCCCACTCTCACTGGGGAATCGGGGTCTTAATACAGGCCCCTGCAAACCAGGACCCAAGATAGCTAATCTTGACCAACTTCTAAAGTAATCATGTATAAACCACAGCGCCAAACCTGGGGAAAGGAGGCAGCGAACAAACGACTACGCCTTGACCGAAGACTCGAATGACACAAACACTCCAACAATCAATCACCGGCAGCAACAGAAGCACTTATACCTTCCACACGCAGAACTCACTTACAAGAACAAACCCACCTTCCCCCACATGAACAATCAGAAATCACAACCCATCACCAGTAGCTCCAGGACTAGTACAAGCAAAAATCCTCCACCAGATTCAAAAAAACAAAACCAGGAAGAGTAAAAGAAAAGCCTCACACGACCAAATTAGAAAAATATCCAGCGGTAAATGAAAAAAAAAAACACAAACACAAACACAAACAAACAAAAACACCACCACCACCACCCCAGAAATAGGCACTGATGAACGACACCCAACCCACCAACCGATGCTCCTCCTCCTCCAGCCAGCCACACATACAGTGTGCTTTCTTGCATCCACTGCGTCCGCTCTAGAGGTTGGACCAACGACCAGATGATGATGCAGTAAAGAGAGCAAACCCCACCTGGAAACGCAAATTCTCTGGATCACGGCCCCCCTTCCTTCCTCCCTTGGTCGCATCTCCTCTGTCGTCTCCTCTACTACCACCATCCCCCTCCCTCCGTCGTCCTCCTCACCTGTGCTGTGCTCTCTCTCTCTGTCTGTCTGTTTCTGCAACACGGCAGAGATGGTCCCGATGCTTTCTGGATTGCGATCGGTCAAAGAACAGACGCAAAAGACGCGGACGACCTAGCTACGACAAAAGGACCCCCCGCGACCAGGCCCCAGGCCCCAGTCTCCCCCCCCCCCCGATGCGGATCGACTGATACCTGTCTCTGTACCATGGTATTATCTTCCGGGTGTCCACATACGGGTATGATGCAGGTATTAGAAAGCGGGCGCTCATCCAGCTGCGGAACCGGCGGGGCTAGGATGGTCCTTCCCGGCTCATCCCGCGTGGCGGGATGGTTGGTAGTGTGTGGATGAGGATGCCACGTCACGAGGGAGCTCAGAATCCAGGTAGCCTTCTTCTTTTTTTCTTTTAGCCCGCATTGTTCAAGCCGTCCTTCCTTGCTTGATTGCTCTCTCTCTCTCTCTCTCTCTCTCTCTCTCTCACGCTCTGCTCGCTTGCTCGCTGCTTCTTGTTGTTGTTGTTGTTGTTCTTCTTCTTTTTGGGTGGCCTGGGATCGTTGTCCTCTGCCACGTCGGATGCGTGACGTGCTATGGTCACCGTTGGCGATATGACAGCTGGCAGTCGGGGGGAGCATCGAAGGATTCGTCTGCAGAGGATTGTGCAGCTTTTGTTGTAACATGATCATCTTGTGATATCCTCAGAATTTTTATAACTTAAAACTGAGCAGGGCCTTTTTCTTTACTTTTTTCTTTTAAAAAAAAATCATTATTTTAATAGGAAAGAAAATTGAAGATCAAATATCCAAGAAATATAAATTCTTTGAAGACACTATATTATTTTTTAAATTATAAATAATCAACATTTCAATGGATATTTTTAGTATCTAGAATAGCATCATAAAAGTACTACAAAAACTTTAAAAGATCCTAAAACTTCATAAGGTAATCATGATACTAAAAAAAAATTATCACTTTTAATATGTCTTTAATGCTTTTCAACAAGTGGACTTCTTATAATGGGCACATAATATTTTTTATTTTTATTTATTTTTATTTTTTTCATAAATTATTACAACAAAGCTAAAATAGTTACCAAGTAGTGTGAGCACTGTTAAAGCATCACAAATGTTGACTTTTAAATGTTTACAACTTAATAGAATAATTGAGTTTATATAGAAGGGTTTTGAGCTTAAATTATTGATAGTGAGTAATATTAATAGCATTATGTGTTGATGTTATTATTACCATTCTAATTATGGAGATTGAATGTCTTGAAGAAGTCATACAAATATCATCAAAAGAAGATGATAGAACAATGTCATGTCATTATTTAGCTAGTTTTTAAATTAAACTAATATTATTATAAGATATTAAATATTCAAATAAATATATCTACAAAACTAACAGGAATAAAAAATACTATTTAAAATTCTATTATTAAGAAAAAGACAACAATAAAGCTTTTTTTAGTCACTCATTTTATATGATTAATATATTTATATAACCAACATGATACAAAAATCATTAAAACTTTGTACTACTATCAATAATTTGTATAAAAAATAATATTTAATACATATATTGGTTTAAAATTAAAAAAATAAATTATAATCAGATCATTATAACATATTTTTAAAATTAAAAATTAAAAATATTTATTATTATTATTATTAGTATTATTTTCTTAAATTTTAGTTTACAAATTATTTTGGTATGAAGCATACTATTTATGCAACATATAACTAAAAAAATCTATTTGGATTTAATTGAGAGTCAAAAGATTTTTTTCAAAAAAATTAATCATGTAAATAATTGATTAATATATTGTATATATAATCAAACCTTAAACCTTTGTTTCAATCTCTTGTTTCCAATCCCATGTCCTAGTTATCATCTCTTGTTCCCTATCATGTGTCTCAAATCCTCTCCCTCTTCCCTTCTTCGTTCTGCATTTGTTGTCTCTCATCCTTGTTCTTGTCCCTCATTCCCTATCCCTGTCAAGGACAAGAACTCGATGAAAGCTAAAGAGTAAGTGAGACTTTTCTCAAAAAGAAATAGGACAAAATAGAAATATGTATATTAAGAAAGAAACTGGAATGGCTATTGCCAAAATACAAGAAAACTAGAGACCCTTGAAACTAGACTAGAAGCAAGAAAGGAGTTGACAAGAGTGAAGAGGGCTTCACTCTTGCCTCTATATATACTATCTAACTAGAAGCCACATGGCGATGTTCTATAAGACCTCCAATATATGTTGACTTTCTAGGCCACATGCCTTTGCTTGCAAGGCAAGTTTTCTATGGATGGACCACATAGTTAGCTTGTTCTTTAAGCTTCCAACATGTGTGGCACATGGCTAACTTGTTGACCAAGTTTCTAACCTAAAAGTCAACTATAGACTCCTATAAAGTCAAAGCAGCGTCTATGAAGCTTCTAAGAAGCTTCTCTAGAAGATATTACACAATTAACCTACTTTTATCTACTTTTACATACTTTTATCTATTCATATAGGTAATTATATGTATGTCCGTGACATTACCCCCCCTTCTAGGGACGAGTTCCACGAGGAGCGGTGATTATATATTGAGAAAATCTAATATGCGACGAATTGTATTTGCTACATACTCTGATCTTTGTTCTCTTCGAAGATAGTTGATGGGTCCTCTTAGCCATCGATAGTGTCCCATTCCAGGGCGAGAAGACCACCCTGTTATTTGATCACTGTTGAGGCCTTCATAACTTCCTTCAAATAATACATTTGAAACACCATTAGGAGTCGTTCCTATCTCCAATAATATCACCAAACATCGAGAATCTCTTCCAAGGTCGTGATACCAAACGCGTTGTATCTCACCATCTATTCGAGGAAGAACATGTCGTTCTTGAGGGTCTTCATCTCGGTTGCGTCGTCTTGAAGGTTGTGACAATCGCAATGTCTCATCCGGTAAGTCAGCAAACGAAGGTTCTTGAGTTGAATCCGCTGGTTGTTGGCTCTCCATCTAATTAGCGTCACAAAATGCAAAGAAGTTACAAACAAGGATAGGAAATTGAATGTTATCTTGCCTCAATCTTGTCTCTTTTATAAGAGAGGTTTTCATCTTGGTTTTGATGGATGTCGTTGATGAAAAACTTTGACTTTAGCTGATGCATTTGTTAGATTCCTGGATGGCTCCCATGTGCGCTCACTAATATCATATCCGCACCAATGAACAAGATATTCCAGCTTATTTCGGCGCCGCCTTGAGTCTAATATCTCTTCCACCTCAAATTCTTCATTATTATCTACTTCTATAGGAGGCGGTGGCATTTGTCTTCTTCCTTGTATATCCACTGTCTTATATGGTTCAAGAAGAGACACGTGGAATACAGGATGGATCTTCATTGACTCCGGTAGATGTAACCGATATGCAACTGGGTTGATCTGTTCAGAAACAGAAAAGGGGCCAAGCCTACGATAGTCCAATTTGTCACAAGGTCGAGTGGTCTTGATATTGCGACGAAGTAGCCATACCTTATCACCCACGTTGAGTTGTGGTTGCTCTTTACGATATACATCTGCATTTATCTTTTGTCGTTCTTGAGCTTTCTTCAACTGCGCCTTCATTATTGCATGTAACTCTGACAACCGATTTGCCATATCTTCTGCTGTAGGATTATCAACTTTTGAAAAATCAAAAGTATCAAGTCATGGATGATAGCCATAATTGGCAAAGAAAGGTGTTTGTTGCGTGGAGGAATGTACCGTATTATTATAAGCAAACTCTGCCAATGGCAGAAGGTTTGTCCAATCATCTTGTTGGTAGTTGATGGTACACCTTAAATACTGTTCCAAGACTTGGTTTACGCGCTCTGTTTGTCCATCAGTTTGAGGATGGAAAGCTGAAGATAGCTTTATGTCCACTTTTAAAATCTTGAAAAGAGTCCTCCAGAATCTCGACACAAATTGAGTTCCCCTATCCGATATGATATCTTTAGGTAATCCATGATAGCGATAGATATTATCAATGAAAAGCTTAGCTGTTTCTTCACCTGTGATAGATTTTGTACATGGCATAAAATGTGCCATCTTGGTGAAACGATCTACTATCACAAATATAGAATCATAAGATCTTGAGTTTGGATGATCTGTGATGAAATCCATAGAAACAGAAGACCATGGTTGTTTTGGTATAGGTAATGGCTGAAGAAGTCCGTAAGGTCGATGTCGAGGAATTTTTGATCTTGAACAAATATCACATGATTGTACAAAGTCTTTGACTGACTTCCACATTTGTGGCCACCAAAAATCTCTTGATATGAGTTCCAGAGTCTTATTATATCCAAAGTGCCCTGCTGCTGGAAAGTCATGACGTGCTTGAAGAACACGTAAACGTGCTTCTCCTTTTGGAACATATAGGTGTCCTTCAAAATATAATAGATTATTCTTGAACTCGAACTTAGAAGAATCATGAGACTTGGAAGAATTATTCTCGATATCATGAACAAGAGGGTCTGAGGACATACTGGACTGGATTTGCTTGAGAAAAGTTGAAACAACAATCAATGTTGATTTCACTGCTCGGAGATGAAATTGCTCCGGTTTCAAGAGGACCGTTCTTTGTTGCTCAAAAGCTGCATCTCCTTCTTTTGGTGCAAAATAAGAACGTCTAGACAGGGCATCGGACAAACCTTGTTGTTTTCCTGGCCGATAAGTGATAATGAAGTCGAATCTTGACAAAGACATACTCCAACGAGCTTGACGACGATTCAACACGCGTGCTGACATGAAATACTCGAGGTTCTTGTGATCTGTATACACAGTGACTGGACTAGAAGCACCTTCTAAATAATGATGCCATTCTTGAAAGGAATCCACGATTGCAAGAAGTTCTTTATCGTGGATCTCATAATTGATCTCGGCTGCTGAGAATTTTCTTGAATGAAAAGCTATCGGATGAAGTTTGTCATCTGTTCCCATTTGTGATAAAACTGCACCCAAGGCAAAATCCGATGCGTCTGTTTCCATAAAAAATACCTTGGAAAAGTCAACACGATATAAGACTGGTGCAGAGACAAACGATGTCTTCAAGGCTTCAAATGCTGCTTCCGCTTCTTG